CCCAAATTTTCCTCCCCAGGAGGAGCTGGAGCACCTGAACGAGGCCAACGCTGAGATCAACCGGGGAGAGCTCGAGCTCGACGTGAGTTTAACTGGTTTGAGCTGGGTTTAACTGGTTTGAGCTGGGTTTAACTGGTTTTGACTGGTTTTAATGGGTTTGAGCTGGTTTTAACTAGTTTGGACTGATTTTAATGGGTTTGAGCTGGTTTTGACTGGTTTTGACTGGTTTGAACTGGTTTGAGCTGGTTTTAATGGGTTTGAACTGGGTTTAACTGGTTTGAGCTGGTTTTAACTGGTTTGAGCTGGGTTTAACTGGGTTTAACTGGTTTGAGCTGGTTTTAAAGGGTTTTAACTGGTTCGAGCTGGGTTTAATGGGTTTGAGCTGGTTTTAACTGGTTTTGACTGGTTTGAACTGGTTTGAGCTGGTTTTAATGGGTTTGAACTGGTTTGAACTGGTTTGAACTGGTTTTAATGGGTTTGAGCTGGTTTTAATGGGTTTGAGCTGGGTTTAACTGGTTTGAGCTGGTTTTAATGGGTTTGAGCTGGTTTTAATGGGTTTGAACTGGGTTTAACTGGTTTGAGCTGGGTTTAACTGGTTTGAGCTGGTTTTAATGGGTTTGAACTGGGTTTAACTGGTTTGAGCTGGGTTTAACTGGTTTGAACTGGGTTTAACTGATTTGAGCTGGTTGTAATGGGTTTGAACTGGGTTTAACTGGTTTGAACTGGGTTTAATGGGTTTTAATTCATTTTAATTGGTTTTAATTGTGTTTTTTTTTAATCCCGAACTGGTTTTTACGGGTTTGAACTGGTTTTAACTGGTTTGAGCTGGTTTGAGCTGGTTTTAATTGGTTTGAACTGGGTTTAACTGGTTTTAATGGGTTTTAACTGGTTTGAGCTGGGTTTAACTGGTTTTATTTGGTTTGAACTGGGTTTAACTGGTTTGACCTGGTTTTAACTAACTGGTTTTTACAGGTTTGAACTGGTTTGAGCTGATTTTAATTGGTTTGAATGGGGTTTAACTGGTTTGAGCTGGTTTTAATTGGTTTGAACTGGTTTTAATGGGTTTTAAATTATTTTAACTGGGTTTAGTTGGTTTTAACTACCTGGTTTTAACTCGTTTGAACTGGGTTTAACTGGTTTGAACTGGTTTGAACTGGGTTTAAGTGGTTTTAAGTGGTTTTAATGGGTTTTAACTGATTTGAACTGGGTTTAACTGGTTTGGACGGGTTTGAATTGGTTTTAACTAACTGGTTTTTATGGGTTTGAACTGGTTTTAACTGTTTTTGAACTGGTTTTAATTAGTTTGAACTGGTTTTAACTGGTTTGAGCTGGTTTTAATTGGTTTTATTCGGTTTGAACTGGTTTCAACTGGCTTGAGCTGGTTTGAGCTGGTTTTATTTGGTTTGAACTGGGTTTAACTGGTTTGAATTGGTTTTAACTGGTTTTAATGGGTTTTAACTGGCTTTTATGGGTTTTAACTGGTTTTTAACTGGTTTTAACTGGTTTTTCCAGTCCCAAACTGGTTTTAACTGATTTTTAACTGGTTTTAACTGGTTTTCCCCAGTCCCAAACTGGTTTTTCCCAATCCCAAACTGGTTTTAACTGGTTTTAACTGGTTTTTCCCAATCCCAAACTGGTTTTAACTGGTTTTTCCCAATCCCAAACTGGTTTTAACTGTTTTAAACTGGTTTTAACTTTTAAAGAGGTTTTAACTGGTTTTAACTGGTTTTAACTGCTTTTTCCCAATCCCTAACTGGTTTTAACTGGTTTTCCCCAACCCCAAACTGGTTTTAACTGGTTTTAACTGGTTTTAACTGGTGTTTCCCAACCCCAAAGTGTTTTTAACTGTTTTTTAACTGGTTTTTAGCTGGTTTTAACTGGTTTTAACTGGTTTTAGCTGTTTTTTCCCAGTCCCAAACTGGTTTTAACTGTTTCAAACTGGTTTTAACTGGTTTTAACTGGTTCTTAAGTGGTTTTAACTGGCTTAAACTGGTTTTAATTGGTTTTTCCCAATCCCTAACTGGTTTTAAGTGGTTTAAACTGGTTTTTAAGTGGTTTTAAGTGGTTTTAACTGGTTTTCCCCAATCCCAAACTGGTTTTCACCAATCGTAAACTGGTTTTAACTGGTTTTAACTGGTTTTTAACTGGTTTTAACTGGTTTTCTCTAGTCCCAAACTGGTTTTAAGTGGTTTAAACTGGTTTTTAAGTGGTTTTAACTGATTTTTAACTGGTTTTAACTGATTTTTAACTGGTTTTAACTGGATTTTCTCAGTCCCAAACGGGTTTTTCCCAGTCCCAAACTGGTTTTTCCCAATCCCAAACTCTTTTTTTCGATCCCCAAACTGGTTTTAATTGGTCCAAACCAGTTAAAACCAGTTCCAAACGGGTTTCAGGCCGCCCGTTGCCGGTACCGCCGCATCCTCTCGGACTCCGCCCGCAGATTGAACTCGCAGGGGTCTCAGCTCGGGAGCTGCATCGAGAGAGCCCGGCCCTACTACGAGGCACGACGSAGAGCCAAGGAGGTATTTGGGGTGAAAAATGGGAATTTTGGGAAAAAA